CATCTTGGTTTCCAGTTTTGTTTTGCATACAGAGTAAAGGCAGAGTTTTTTTTTTCTGCAAGCTATAACTAAGGGTGCATAGTCCTTCCTCATCAAAGTATTTAGGCTTCTTAGTGCAAAACCAATCTGCAGTAGGCACGAGGCATCACTGTCACGTGATGGCAGCTCTATACTGAGTCTTAAAACACTGAGCCCTTCCTAACTGTCCTGGCTGTGCCCTCTGTGCTTCTGTCTATCTGGAATGGTCTGAACTTGCTCCTGGCTTAGTCCTCACCTTATGTGCCATGGTCACACTGTCAAGACAATTGTACCCTCCTGACTTCTTACTCCTTTGCCACCTTCAATGCCACGCTGGAGTCTATGACTCCAGCCTCTGCTGGCTGCTGTTTATCTGCTCAGTCCTGTGGCTTTCACCTTTGTATTTTCTGTCTTGATGAGTACTGTGCCACTCATTTTCACTTTTGTCTCAAGAGATCACACTGCCATCAGACTGCATTTTCTAGGGTCCACGCTTATCTGTCTGTTTCTTCCTATATTCTTCTGCATGCTCACCCGGCCCTACCCGCCACAGAGCTGGCCATCTCTAGCGTGGTGAGATACATCTGGTTTCTTTGGGAGGGGTCTTCACAACGCACATCTTTCTCTCCTCTTGCTTTTTCCTTTTCTCTTACTCTCCCAGAGCTATCTCTACAATGGCAACTCATCTTCTCTTTTTCCTGTTTTCTAAGTCCTTTACACCCATAACATTTGCTTTCTCAACCAATGCTCTTTCTGAGGCAAAGCAGCCGAATGAACCAAGGCGAGAGAGAGTGGATGCAGTCAGGGACAAGCATCTCAGCCTGCTCCTCACCATCCCCGCCCCTAGTCCATCTCAACTGAATCGAGTGGAGACTGGGACTCTAAGGGCGAGAGAAACACCCTCTGAGTGGGCATGCAAAAAACTGTGGCTCCCGGGACACTCAAAAGCCAGCTGGGATCTGTGTAGGGCCAGAAGATAGCTGGTTTTTAGACAGTGAAGCTAATTCTTCACAGGAAGACTGCAGGTCACACTCTTCACAACGCTGCACGGTTGGTCAGCCAAACTCCAGGCTAAGGTGTACTCAGCAATCCTTCTGCCTCTCAGTCTCTGGCATGCAAGGATCTCTCTCTCTCTCTCTCTCTCTCTCTCTCTCTCTCTCTCTCTCTCTCTCTCTCCCTCCCTCCCTCCCTCCCTCCCTCCCTCCCTCCCTCCCTCCCTCCCTCCCTCCCTCTGTCTCCCCACCCCCTCTCTCAGAGAATCTAAACAAGAGGGTTAGAGAGATGGCTCACTCAGTGGTAAAGAACATACACAGCTCTTCCAGAAGACCAGAATTCAATCTCAGCACCCATGTCACATGGTTCACACCATCTGAAATTCCTGCTCCAGGGGGAATCTCACCAATTCTTATAGTGGGTGAGCGTGTGCGCACACACACACACACACACACAAAACTCCACCATACCACCACCACCTCCACTCTCCCCTCTGTGTTAATTCAGAATTGCTATGACCTAAACACCATGACCAGCATGGTAAGGAGTGTGGCAAGCATGGCACTGGAGTAGTAGCTGAGAGCTCACATCTAAAATCACAATTGCATTGCAAATAGAGCTAAATGGGAACTTTTGAAACCTCAGAACCCACCCAGAGTGATATAACCCCTCCAACAAGACCCCTTCTAACCCTTCCTAAACAATTCCACCAACTGTGGAGGAAGTATTCAAACGTAAGAGCCTATAGCGGCCATTCTCATTCGGACACCACAGAACCCAAACAAGATCAAAGCACTTAGTGGGGACACAGGACGTCTGTTTTCTCACAGAGCTGCTGAATTTCAGAAGACCTCTCAGGGAACAGACTGTCTGTTACTACCAAAACCACAGCACCCGCATTTGTAGCAGCAAGTCCTATACAACATGAAGTGTCACCACAGCGTCTGAGATGATACACAATGGCAAAGAGATCTACACAGGGTCCATGCCAGGGTGAATGGAGCAGAACTTCCCCTGCTGCATATATCTTCAACACTGCACAGTTAGCACTTAACTCCAGAAAGTCAGTGGTTTAAATGGACCTCACTCCAATCTAAAATAATGGTGTCATTTTCATTAACACAGAACTGTATGCTGCCTGCTGTAAAAGGCATCAATCTCTTCAGCTGGTCTCAGTGCAAACAGACTATCTGGGAGTTAGACCTTCCAGCAGCACAGAAATATGTCCATAATTAATTCAAAATGGTATCAAGCTACTCAATAAAACCAGAAATAGAAAAGAGCCACAGGAGAAACACACTGATGTAATGGGGCGGGGTGAGGCAATTACTTACAGAGAACATTACAACTGATCACTTAAGAATTACTGAAATCAGCCCTGAATACAAGACTAAGGCAAAACAGAATAAAATATCAGAAAAATGCCTTCCAATAAGTACTTCTTCATCAACTAAGACTCATCAACACACCTGCCAACAGACACAAGCACGCTTCATACGGGGCTCAGCTGCATCTATAAAGCACATTAGCATTCTTTAGCAACTTCCCTTATATAATGAAGACAGTAGATTTCAGTATTATCCAGGGAACAAGGGGGAAGGAGAGGGAGGGAGGGAGGGAGGGAGGTCCTGAGATTATTTTTCCTAGGTTGTTTGCCTCATAGATGATACAGCTGTCATTTTCAGCCAGATCCTGTGTTCCACATTTCTGCAGCAGGAACTGGCAAACCATGGTTTACACATCAAACTACCCAGTGATTATTTCTGTACACACTGTTTTACCGAAGCGCTGCCGGGCTCATCTGTTTACATCCTGTCCCTGGATCCTTCCTGGCTCTTACTGCATGAGAGCCACTCTGCACTGGCCGACCTTTATCTAGCCCTAAAGCCCCAGACTGCAGACTGTGGAAACATGGAGTGACATGGGGGTGATGGGAGTCTGTGAGGGTCAGCATAGAAAGCTACAAAGATGACACTCGCTGTCCTGTGAACATAAAATCATGGTATTCCTTCCCGTCTTATACATTTCATTAATTCTCTCAAAAGATGAACTCAATTATTATTTAAAAAATATAAAATTGACTTTAAAATGAAAAAAATCCTAATTCTAAAAACATGGGCATGGGTAAGTACCACATGAAAAAAAAATACCCCCTTTTCCCTTAGAAGACAAATGAGTTTTAAAACTTGCAGTGAGTCTCATGTTTCACCTGCTGCCACCAGAGCACCAGAGCTCAGGCAACATTCCATTCAGGTCTCACTTGGGTAGAAGATCCGTCCATCTGAGCCATCACAGGTGCTCAGGCAGTGGCTGAGGACCACTGTCCATGTTATGATAGCTGTAGTAACTTGTTTTTTTTAACTAGGCTTCCTACTAAAGCGTAATCCTTACTTTTAAATAGTTAATTATTTCCTCAGTCCAAAAAGGATGTCAGACATCTAAGCAATGACATGTGGTTTGCGTAGGGAAAGCCTGTTCAGTGCCATGAATCTACTCAGGCCATGGCCATGAATTATCTTGAAATGTTCACATTTTCTCTGTCATGCATTAAGCACCTATTAAGAAGAACCTTTCAGGCCACGTACCCTCTCCCCTGCTGAAAGATCAGGTGGCAGGGGTAACATGTCTTTCTGTATCCAGCCCACAGTGCTCAGCCTGGCCTCCCTCAGGACCAGCGGGTGTGGCATGAACCCAAAGGCATGGAGTCGGAGTGAAGCATAGTCAGTCTGTCATGAACAAGTTCAATCTGGTGCAGGGACAGCGTCAGAGTCCCACGGTCCTGACACTCCTGCCTCCCCTGGAAAGCTGACCCCTGTTCCCAGCGAGTCTTCCCTCCGGCTCTCGGCAGTATTCCTGACAGAAGTCTCGCCTGCGCTACCTTTCATTTCAAACTAGGCAGAACCATTTCCTTTCCCTCGGGTCCCTTGGCCCCTCTTTCTTATGCTGCTTCTAGCTATCTGCAAACTTACATATCTCCTCCCTTATGAAAGCTACACCTGCATTCATTTTCTTAACTAGGCCTCTGCCTCTTTCAACACAGGTAGGTTTGGTGGGTGCTGTGCTCCTTGGGCTTCTAGTTCAGTCATGGAAGGCTGTGCCACTGGGTGCAACAGAGAATGCCCAGGCTTAGATCCAGGTACACAGTTGGTGGACATTTTTCAGGCCATGGCAGCACCCCCATCAACAACAAACAAACAAATCCAGAAAGATGTGCTGCACGAGCTGACCTCACACCCTGGGATGCTCTGCACTGGATGAGAAGGGAGCAGTGAGGCCACTTTGAAGCCACCTGTCCCAGGTCGTCCCGGGATGACCACATTGCTATCACAACGCCAGGTCTACACCTCTGTACAGTTTCTCTGAGTTTGGAGGAACGGCCAGGAACCGGTGTGTCTGGGCTACCAAGTGGCATGAGGAAGACACCGGCAGGTATCTCACACAGCTGTGTGGCTCTCATCCCACCCCTTCAGATGGTCGTGAGACTTCTGCTGCATACATGCTTTGCAAGTAACTGAAAGTTGGTACGGAAGGCCAGTAGTGCAGTATGGCAAGTTGGATACACACCACTTGCTAAGAGTGCAAGCAGTCATGGTTCTCTCAAATGCAGGCTGAGTCATTTCCTTGTACTCCCCAGGACCAGGACTCAGAAAAGCGTGGTGGTAAAGGGGTCTTTTCACTGTTGTGAATTAACTCAGACACCATACTTCAAGCAACAACTGTAGTGACTTCTGTCATGGCTGCCTTCCTCCTCCCCTATACAAAGGACTTACTGGTAAGTCTTGGTGATCTTAGTGATCTTAGTACTTCCTATGGCTACTCACCCCCTTAGTAAACAGAGATGTGCACAAGGAGCAAACTGCATGTGACCAGATCCACCCGCCCGCAGACTAGACCCAGGCAGATACCAGGTCCTGAGACATCAGAACACAGGCACACTGCTGTGACCAGGATAATGCCTTGGGATGGGGACCTGGACTACAGACACTTACCAGCGCAGAGCAATCTTGATGGGAGTGGTGAGGCAGGATGTGAACAGGTCGGCTGGGAGGTCGGGGATCATGGGCAGGAGCTCGTGGGCCTCACAGGCTGCCAGCTGGATGCAGTTTTTCATGGACGGGGGCAAGGGCATCTGGGCAAGCGGGTGGTTTGGGTTAATTGCAGCTACCTACAGGAGGGCACAGAAAGACAGGAGTTTAGCTGACACTCCAGGAGGGAACATTGGGCATCGACAAGGAAGACGCAGCACCGAGGGAACATGGCTCTACCCTTGACAAACCTTCCCTCTGTTAAGGCCCCTCCATACCCCATGATGGTGTCAATGCTCACATACACCCTGCCCAATCTCTCAAGGTAACCTGTTTACGTTGAACATTCCGTCCCTAATCAATCATTACGCTACTTTGGAGGGCTTCATAGCATGGAAGATGACCAGAGGTATGTAACATCAATAACAACAAGCCACACAGTAAGGCAGGTTAGGGTAATGACTTTCCCTGTATGCCTGACTTCTCTACAACAAATAAACATGTACTTATTTTATAAAGGGTTTGGATAGATTTAAGCATGGCCCCTTTAGGGCAGAGAAAGTATGCTATTTCCTTCAGTGACATTTGATGAGGTCATACTGCAAGGAAGCTGGGAAGAAAGGTTTAAAGGAAAAATTACTGTAGACTTCAATAATGCGCACCTCTTTTTTTCTGACTTAAACCAAGTTTGTTTGGGTAAGTGTCAACTTGCTATGCCTACCAGGCTGGCCCTGACTTTTCCTGCCTCTTCCTCCTGAATTCTAGGGTTGCACAGGGATGAGGCTCTATGTTTTGTTGCCAAAGTGAAAATCTTTTCATAAATAATTTAGTGCATTCAAACAATGGCGAGTGACAGGACTGGCTGATATATGACCGGCTCACACAGTGTCAGAGAGCTCTGTGCCTTGCTGTGCCACCAAAGCAGCAGCAGCCATCTAAACATGCATGACACACGGGATGCAACCACATCTCGTGTGCACTGTGGCTCCTGCCTCTGCTGCATACGTACATTCATGTGACAGAGTTTGATCAGTTGCAGGCTCTGCTGCCATTTTCAGAAATAATGACATGTGTGAGTCCCATATTTGGCCAGTAAGTAAGGCCTGCTAATGTGATGAGGGGGGCAGCCTGTGCACGACGCTGTCCTGACCCACAGTGCTCCTGGAGTCCAGAATGGTTTTGCTTTCCACAGTGCTCCAGCTCAGGAGCAGAGCAGCTGTGAGCAATGGCTTGCCTTAAACAAGCACTATGGTACAGATGGAGAGGAAGAGAAATCCCTGGAGCCCCAGGAGGGCAGGCCCCAAGCTGCAGCTCTAGGGAGACAGACCACAGGGCACAAAGGGAGGGCCTGCACAGCACACAGGTACCTGAGATAAGGGGGGGCGGAGAGGGAGAGAGAGGGAGAGGGAGGGAGGAGAGAGAAGCGAAGAGGAGAGAGACAGAGAGACAGAGAGACAGAGAGAGACTGCAGGTTCTCAGTAGTCACCATGCCCATGATCTGGCCATGAAAAACTACTATGGAGATTAACCCAGCCCATCCTGGTTCCATCTCAAAGTTGGTGAACTTGAATGCCCAAAGGAACCTTCAACCTGGTGCACTTTAATTTACTTGTAGGAACCACTAGAGCAAGGATCCCTCAGCCTCCTGTGCTTCTAGGTTGTCAGCTAATCGGCTTCTTAGTTTGTATTATAAATTACATGAGACAAGACACCACAGCGGAGCCCAGAACAGGGTCGCACTGGGGAGGGTGGGGAGAGTCAGGGAGGTGTCCTGAGTCCCACAGGCATGCTCAGTCCTTACTGACCACATCCCTTTCGGCTGTAGGGTCTCACACTCCTCAGTGCACACTTACATTCGCTGCTCATCCCGTCTTCAACCATTCTGCTGTTTGTTTTTCAAGACAGGGTTTCTCTGTAGCTTTGGAGGCTGTCCTGGAACTCACTCTGTAGACCAGGCTGGTCTTGAACTCACAGAGATCCACCTGCCTCTGCCTCCCAAGTGCTGCCACAACCAGGCTTCTGCCACCATCCTTATGAGCTAAATTTTATCTCCATTTAAAAAGAACTCCAGCAATTAGGAAATGGACTTCATAGAACAAGAGGCTGAGTGACACAGGAGGACCGCTGTGAGTTTAAGGCCAGACTCAACTACATATCAGTATGGCTACCTGCTCTTATCTGGTTTTAGGACTTTTCTTAGCCAGTTGTTTTTTGGAACAGTGGTTCTCAACTTTCTTGATGCTGCGACCTTTTAGAACAGTTTTATATGATGCAGTGATCCCCAGCCATAAAATTATTCACATTGCTACTTCGTAACTAATTTTGCTACTGCTATGAATCACAATGTATATATCTGACACGAGACCACCCCAGGGTGTTTAAGACCCACAGGTTGAGAATTGCTGTTATAGTCCCTCAATGTAGCCATGGCACCTGACACCAAGATCATAAGCACCTTGCCCTGCACCTCTGACAGCAAATCCACACAGCTGTGCTTGCCCTAGATAAACAATGTTAATATCTCATTGTCCATAACAGCAGTTTTGGCATCTTCAATTCCTCCACCAGTGAGTATCAAAAGCATATTTTACCAATAACCCTCTGCACTATAGAAATATTAAGCCCAAAGCCAAAATTCAGACACTTGTATACATAACTGGAAAATAATGTAAGTCATTTAATAAAAAATACCTTATTTTTTGCATTACTGGGATGAAACCAAGGGCATTACACGTGCTAGGCAGGCACTCTAAGGCTAAGCCGTACCCCCAGCCACATGGGAACTCAAATGTACAGTTCAGAATTCAGCAGCTTGAATAATGTTGCCAAAGTTTTCTTAAGGCACAGAGAAGGAAGGCAAGATCATGTGTAAAATAAAGTTCTGGGTTCTGGCTGTATGAGCTAAAGTAGAGAGAAAAGGCCATAGCTCTGCACAGGAATTTGGTTTCCAGGTCTGTGAAATTCTACCCTGCTCTTCAGAACAATGGGTCTGGACAGATCTGGTCCTCTAGGGTCAAGTGAGAGCCCTTGGGGCCTGCAGTGAAGTGCTCTGGTAGGAAGGGGGTGGGGGGAGCAAAGAAGATGACATCTGATCAGGGTAGGATCCAGGAAGGCAGCAGAGGCCAGGGCAGAGTCCTAAAGTGTGGGTCACAGGCTTGGAGATGTCTGTAGCTGCTGTAGACTGGTACTGCTTTAGTAAGTACTGCTAACTACCAACAGTCAAGGACACACAAGAACACTCAACAGATGATGAGAATGGAAACCATCTAAGTGGAAAGGGTTGGACAGTGATTTGCAGCCTAAAGTCACTTCTCTGTTTTCCTTTTCAAAAACATAATAAAATAAAATAAAAGCCCTTGTGAGAAGCTGGCCTATGAACACGAGAAAGTCTGGGTTTGGCCACAGGTGAGCCACATTAGGAGCATACATTACTTTAGTTTTAATTTTTATCTGAAATATTGGTCCTTTAACTGAAATAACCTTGCAGAAGGCAGCTTGAAGAAGGCTCGTTAGGAGGCAGTCAAGTCAAATGTGAGCCATCTAGATGGCACCAGCACTCCTGCAGGACGAGAGCCCCACCTCTGCACAGGGACTTTTCCTGGGCAACCCGGGAGGCTCACACTCTGGAACAATCTAGATGCAGCTCACTGTAACGAGCTCCACAGTGGACGTCTGCTCCAGCTCCCAAGCAAGGCCAGGGACCTCCTAGGTCACGCACCACACTTAAGCGTAGCATGTCCACTGCTTGTTTTTTTAAACTAGCCACTGAGTTGTTGTTCCCTTTCCCACACACGTGAGTGACAACTTTATAATAAGATTAGACACCAACAAGTTCAAGACTCTCAAGAAGAGACTTTCTGACTAGAAACAACTTTTATTCTATATTTGGCACTACATTACGAGGGACAGCCTGCAGATCAGAGAGAGTTGAGCTAAGTGGGGCTCGTGCTACTTGTCCAACTTCATTAGTATTCAGGTCTAACATGTGACCCACTATATTAAAGACAGCGGAATGGACTTAATACACAAGAAACATCATTATATGCAACCAATAGTCAATAACAACTTCACTAAGTGGTTGCATGGCTAGGAACTGTGAAATTTCAGCCAAGGAAGCTAAGAGCAACTTCTGCTGGATGACAATGCAGTGATGTCCTTCAAAGGGCTCCTAGATCCGTGTTCAGCAACAGTTCCTCATGATTATTCTCAGCTTGTCCCAATGAACCGTCCATTATTTTAAAGATACTTAGCTGCTGGCAGTCTCGGCTCTAAATGCTCTCAAATCATTCTACAACTCAGTGAACATGCTCATTAGAAATGATAAGCAAACTCCACTCCCAATCATGCTTGGATTGAATCAACAACTAAAGAGAAGGAGATGTGAATGGTTCTACATGCACATAAGATATTTAGGGGCAGTTTAACACCCCCTCCATGCCCAGCTGGCCAGCTGCTGGAGAACAGTCTCAGGGACATGATCTCCAGAGGAAGGAGGTGTCCAGGGGCTACTGTCCAGCCTTGTCACACTGTACAGAGGCACTCAGTAGCAGAGTGGTCTCTTCTGTGTGAGGCACAACACAACACCCACAATCACAAAAGTTTTCTCCATTGAGCATGCTCCAGAAAGGAGGCAGGCCCTCTGGACACAATGGCATGGTGACCTGAAGTGTCACTGGTGACTGGTTCCAGGTTCTGGGCTCAGAGGACATGTGTTCACCAGTGCCAAGGACGTGCCTGCGGTTTTCCGGCCTCATGCTGTCTAGGAACCCTGGCTTCTCCTCACACAGGTGACTTCTACACTCTTAGTCCAGAGCATCATCACTCCCCTGCCATGGTCTTTCTTGGACTCACAGCTTCCCCGTCTGTCTGCTGAAAATCTGAATGAGCCCACAGCCACCTCTGGGCACAGCATGCTACCTTTTATCCTGGGGCAACCCCGGAGCCTCTTCCATCCCTGTTGGCTGACAGCCATCCTGGCGGCAGAGGCCATCTCTCTTTGGGGAGAGCCTATGTCTTGGGCGAATGAGCTGAGTGTCTACTAAAGATCTAGACCCTTGCTGTCCATTGTCACCTGCAGCTCCGGAGTTAACAGTAATGAACTGAATCATCAGTCTTTCTTGGATTCCTCAGGGAATGACAG